TGATACCCACATAAGACAAGAACCAAAATTGGGAAGATGGCAATGTCTACATGTAAGACGAAGACTAGTGATCCTTGGCAGCCCTGCATGGGCAGATTGGCTGGGAAATAAAAGCTATCCAACAACAAACATCTGAGCTAGCAAGAAGGGGCAAATGGGGCTTGCATTCAGGAAGATGTATTTGTACGGTTCCTGGTGAGGCTGCTCGAGTAAGGAACCTGAGGTGGGGACCATTCTGAGGAGAGTGAATACTCAACTCTGCCGTATTAACCACAGTTCAATACTTACTGCTCTTTCTTTATGATCAACAAGTCCTTTTATGGCACTCATTTGTAAGATAGATTGGGCAAGTATTATTATTTAACAAATGAGAACACTAAGTTCAAGTACATAAAGTGACTTGCCTGACTACAAAGTGTCAAAACGATACTCCAGTATTCAGACTCCTAATTCAATGCTCTATCCACTCTTCTGTTTTTTTTTTTTTTTTTTTTTGAGAGGTTTTTGCTATAGGGCATGTGCACTCGCCAGACAAAGACAGAGAGACAGAAAGCGAGAAATCACCCCCCAGGGGGGATGGCCACGCCACAATCCCTTCTCCTCCGTTCTCCTCTCAGAATCTTGGGCATGCATGCACACGCGCCCAGTGTGAATTTAAGCCACCGGGTCTGGGACTCGAACCGCAATCGACTATGTGGGAGTCCAGTGACATAGCCATTACGCTAACTGCTGGTCCCTCTATCTACTCTTCTAAAGTGGATTATGTGGGTGGGAGAAGCTGGAGACAATGGAAGAAATAAAAATGAGAGCTGAGCCACTGGAGGTTAACAGGCTTTAAAGGAAAATAAGAGAAGGTAAAGCAGGCAGGAGAAAACAGAGGAAGGACTCTTGGCAAACATGGGAGTGAGTGGAAGAATGACCTGAGTATCAAACTTGTATTGGGACGTCAGAAATCAGATAGAAGTGGGAATAAGGCTAGATGAATATTTGGATGTAATGAGTAGTTTGGTGTGCACTAAGGTATCAGTGGTTTTATGAGAACTATGGTAACACCAAAAGCAGGGTTTTGTGAAGATTAATCTGGCACCTGGGAGAAGGATCAGAGTGAGAGTCTAGAAACAGGTAACCCAATTAGGATAGAAATGAGGTAATTCAAATGTGAGGTGATAAATCTTGGACTAAGATAATAGCAATGGGAATGGCAAGGCCAGAGGAATCCACAAGATAAGGAAAACACACCAGGATTTAGTAACAGATTAGATATAGGAACAAAAAATAACCAGGAGTTCAAAGGCTTCAGCTCTGAGGGGCTGGAAGAATGAAGGCTTCACTAGAATGTGAGATTATTGCCTTTACTTTGGAGACTGTTGGATTGATGGGACAGTATAAGAGGGACAAATAAGCAGTTTGAAATTTGAGATTACATTTCAGCTGAATGGGTAGAGGGCAATCTACAGAAAATGATCTTTGAAGCACATCATCTAAAAGGGAAGTGATATATTTGCTATAATCATAACAACCAACATATAGCTTTCTTTCATATTATTTTATTAGTACTTATGGAATAACAGTTTATGAAAATATTTCCTTTGCAAGATATAGAAACTACAATCTCTGTAAAATATACACACCCATAATTGTTACAACACATATCTTGTGTATGCTTTGGACATTATAAATTTTGAGAATCATACTCTGTAAAAGAAGAAACACTTTCTGCAATCTTTAGTCATATACTATGACATTCAAGTACTTAAACTCCACTGTTAAAATAACACATATATTTCTAGTGTAGGCCCAAAGGGATTTAACTTTCAAGGTCCTGGAGGTTCTTCCATTGTGCAAGGTAAAGAATCGGAAGGGGGTTCCCTGAGACTTCCTTCACCTTAGGTAGTCCAGGTAGGGGTTTACTTTCCACTCTATCAGGGAACTAAGGGTGAGACGAAGGCTGAGGGAACTCAGTTTGGGCATCCCTCTCATCCCTATCTATGCAGCATGGCACCTACAAGATGGTTTCTAAGATACCTTTGAGCTCTAAAATGTTCTGATTCTATGATGATTTAAGACACTTGCAGAATGATGCTTGCAAGTCTAAATTCCAATGTCATAAATTGGATCCAAGTTATGCTCGAGGTGACTCACCTAAAGAGACTTCATTTAGAACCTGTCAGGTGCAAAGCACTTCATAAAATAAGCAAGCCAAAAACCTCGCCTTGGAACTATTGGAAAGGGTCCATTGTCACCAAGGCATAAATCTTAGAACCAAGTTTCTCCTTACTTTGAAAGTCATGATGAGAGGGTGGGGTTGTGATTCTAACCTTTCATCTCTTATGGGTTTACGATCATCCCAGAGGCTCCATCTGACAGTACGAACAGGAGGATGCCACCACCTCACCACTAGAGGGTACACTGTGATGAAGAAACATCTGCATGTCCACCCTCCACCCAAGCTAACTTCCCAGTCTTTCCTAGTTACAAAATTCTCTCTTTAACCACAGGGTATTGGCTTGATGAATTCCAGATATAAAATGTGTTGTTTGAATTCAGGATGTTAGTATCATGGTGCGCCACCAACATTTAACATCATGCTGATAATACTAGAATTTAGAGGGGTTTTTTTCCTATGCAAGAAACTATGAAAGCCCAACAACATTCACAGGTCTTGACATTTAACCTATAACATGAAGCATGATTATGTATTATGTATAATCCCATAAGGGAAAAAGGCTATAAAAATAAGTTTATAGCATTAGTGAACTTCAAAAATTTATTTTTAAAATACATACTCCAGGGACCAGCATTTGGCATAATGGCTATGTTGCTGGACTCTCATGTAGTTGACTGTGGTTCAAGTCCCAGACCCCGTGGCTTAAAGTCACGCTGGGTGCGTGTGCGTACATGCCCAAGATCCCAAGAGAAGAATGGAGGAGAAAGGATTGAGGCGTGGCCATCCTCCTGCAAGTGATTTCTCGCTTTCTGTCTCTCTGTCTTTTGGGCGAGCACAAGCGCCCTATAGCAAAAACCTTTTCCCCCTCCAAAAAAAAAAAAGAA